GGTCAGTGTCCCCCACCCCCAGAAACGTTCCCCTGCCACCATCCCACTCTACCCCAGGTCACATCCTGGCCATGCCAGGTATGGGGGGAAAGCGCTGGCAGCAGAGGTGCAGGGAGAGCTGCCCTGGGCTGTGTCCGTGCAACAGGTGGGGGGGTTTGGGCAGCCACCGCAGCCCTTTGCGAGCCCAAATTTGATGAGGGGGACCCATCAGCAGGTCTGTGCCAGTGGGGCTGTGGGACGGTTTGCAGCACCCTGGGCAGGGCAGGAGCCAGGCACGTGGCTCGGTCCGTGCCTCTCACCAGCCCCGCAGCACCCTGAGCCCCCCAGCTCTGCCCATCCCTGCAGGGGTCTGTAATGTGGACCACCAGAACAAAGCCGGCTACACAGCTCTCATGCTGGCAGCACTGGCTGCCGTCGAGTAGGAAGATGACATGAACGTGGTCAGGAGGCACTTCAGCATGGGCAATGTCAACGCCAAGGCCAGCCAGGTTGGTGTGGGCTCGGGGCCGCCACATCCTGACCCTCTTCCCCCACCCCAAGCCAGGGCCACACTTGGCTCCTCCAAGGGCAGGACTGCAGCTCCGAAACCTGGAGTGGCCAGTACATGGGGAGGGCATCACATTAGGAGCTCCTTCTGCCTGGCATCAGGGCTCTCGGGTCTCACCCACACCTCATCTCCAGCCAGGGAGGTGCTCAGAGACCGTGCAGGCACTGGGGGACGGCAGTGGTCCCTCCCCGGGGCAGTGGGAAGAGCAGGTGGCACAGCCAGGGCAGGAACACTCTGGCAGCATCCCTTGCCTTGCAGGCTGGCCAGACAGCGCTGATGCTGGCTGTCAGCCATGGCCGGCAGGAGATGGTGGAAGCCCTGCTTGCCTGCGGAGCCGACGTGAACCTGCAGGACGAGGAAGGCTCAACTGCGCTGATGTGCGCCTGCGAGCACGGCCGCGTGGAGACGGTGAAGCTGCTGCTCGCTCAGCCCACCTGCAACATCTCCATCGTGGACAGCGTAAGCCTCTGCCGCTGGGGTCTAGGCACACTCGCCCACCCTGTGTCCTGTCCCCAGACCTCTTCCCAACTGCTCTCCCTTCCTTTTTAGGATGGTAACAATGCTGTCGCCATCGCGCTGGAGGCCGGCCACAGCAACATCGCTGTGCTACTCTACGCCCACCTCAATGACATGAAGGCACAGCTGCCCGTGAGTACCGCAGCCCCCCCAGCTCCTGCCACCTGCCCTGTCCCACACAAGGGCCACAGAGGTGGCACTGCAGCACTGGCTCAGCTGCCTGGAGGGCAGGTGGCCCCGTGGGAGGGGACAGGCCTGTGACACAGATGATGCTCCCCAGGAAGGGGCTACAGGGGTGAGAGCAGAGCGTCCCAGGTGCCACATGCTCGGTGCATCCTCAGTAGCAGGGAACCAGCCTGGCTGGCCCCGACCAGAAGTCACTGGAGGGGTCTCTGGTGACATTTCATGACTCCACTCTCTCTGCAGCAGGGGACATCACCGACAGCCACGAAGAGCCCTGGGAGCCCAAAGAAACCAAATTAGAGTGATCTTCGGATCCAGCTAGGGGCCAGCCGTGTGCCAGCCAGCCACCATCAGCACTACGCTGTAATTTACGTCCCCTCTCCTGCCACTGCTTGTGTGCTGAATAGCTCTCTGCAGCTGCTTTAATCCTCCTGCCACTAGAGCAGGCACCGTCCCTGGGCCTCACTCATTCACCTCTGCTGCTGGAAGCAGCCCATGCACAGCCACCTCACTCCACCAAGGGACACAGGAGCCAAGCATCAGGTGGCCTCGGGGTGGGAAATGCAGTGAGCAGAAGCTGACCCCATCCCCTCTGCTCCCCACCACGACTGCCGGAACTGCGCCACCTCGGAGCCCTCTGCAAGTCACTAACTCACTGAAACAGCAGAAAACAAACCCAGCAGACATAGCACCTGGTTTCTGTTCTCTCAGCCAGCTCCCGGCAGCTCCAGGAAGGCAGCGGAGCCAGTGACGGGGAACAGGGCTGCAGGAGGGCGAGCGTCGGCTCCTGGACGCCGCTGTGCTGCGCGGTGCTGGTAGGGAAGCAGTGCTCAGCAGGCAGGTCATGCACAGCGATGGGAGAAGGGACACAAACCAGCTGGTTAACGCTGCCTCAGATGCAGGCTGGGAGCACTTCCAGACTGAAATACTTGCCCTTCTTTTGTGGCATTTCCTTTCCTGGCTGAAATCTGATTTTTTTTCTAGCACATGCACACAAAGCAAAAAAATTATATTGCTTATTCAAAGGATAGAGTTAAACATGAAGTCACTCGGTGATTTGATTTGCTCAATGGGAGCAAAACTTCCAGGCACTCGGGGCTGCAGCCAAGCTGACAGAAGGGGGCCAAGAGCCACGAACACATTTAGGGACTGAGACTGCCCAGCTGATACCTCACATGGGGAGCAGGGACCTTCTCCCAAGAGAAAGATAGCAACATTTCCCATTTCCTAAACATTTCCCATTTTAAACAGTCTCACAGCCATTGACTGTGAAGGCAACCAGAGCCCACAACCAAGTCCCTTTGCCCACTTTCCTTCCCAAAAAGGAGTGATTGAGGATAGCTCCAGGAAAAAAAGATCGACGAGAAGAGCTCAGAGAGAGCCTAGGGCCCACGGAGATGGACATGTATGTCAGAGGATGCGTGTGCGTCTGTGCGAGTGTGTGTGCACCAGGCGGGGTGGGAACAGAAAAGGTAAGGACTAAGGACCGGGAGGAAGAAGAAAAAGGCTTTTGCATGTGAAGCTGGCTCCGCTCTCTGAATCCTTCACAAAGGTAATGGGTGTCACAGCCCCCATTTCTGCTCCTTGGCCCAGCCTCCCCCCCACCACTCTTGCCCTACACAGGCCTGGTCTGAGCCATACTGTAAGCTGGGAAATGCTCCCCAAGAAACTTGTTCTGGGCTACACGCTGCTGTCCTTGCAGTGGGCCTGTTTCAGCTT